GCATTACACCCGAATTCCTTACCAAATTTGAAATAAAAATAAAATACGGAAAATAAATACAAATAATAAAAATAAAAAGAGAATTAAATTTAGTGAGTGCGCGAGCATGTTTTCTACACCGCCATCTTTGGCGATTTTTCATTGTTTTTTTGGCACAGATAAATGACCTGAAAATTTATAGATGTGTACTTCACATAATACAAAACCCACCAAAAAAGTTTCAAAAAATAATAAAATTGTTTAGACCCCGAACTAAAGTGAAAACAAAAAGTAAAAAGTGAAAAAATACGTGGGCGAGCACGTTTTAACACTGCCATCTTTGGCGATTTTTAATTTTTATTTGGCTTAGCCAAATGACTTGAAAATTTACAGGCATGTACCTCACGTCATAGAGAACTCACAAAAAAACAATTCAGAGAAAAATAATTATTTTTAGGCCCCGAAATAAGTTTTGGCGGGGGCCGAACGCCGTCGGGTTCGGACCCCGTACGGGACCCCGAACGCCCGTACGTACGGAGGKCTGCCCGGGGACCTCCGTACGTACGGGCTGGTGACCCTGCTTGTAAGGGTATTCGCACGGACAGTGCACCATTTTTGTTTTTTCCTAGGACCACGACCAAGACCGGTTATGTGACTCCAAGGACTGCCCGTTCCCATAAGAGCCCCAACTTGCAATTTTCACACCCTCCCAACGACCAATATGAGGCAAAACGAATGACTGGTACAACCAAATGTTGAAACTGACTCAGGTGTAATAACACAACCCTAATGACTGCAAACAACGTGTTCCCGGGGCCTAAATGCCCGAGCCTAATCTCTACTTCGAACATCAACCCATAAATAAAGGTTGTTGCCCCTGATGCAGCTCCCGATTTAAGTAGCCCTCCCTCTCGCCCCACATACCTACAATCTGTTTCCTTCCTACTGCGAATAAAGACCGAGTGTCTGAGTATTACCTCGGTAGTGAACAACAATTTCGATGGGTTGGGACTGAATTATAAATATAAAAGCAACTTGGAAAATATGGCTGTGCATCTTTCCGCTTTCCAGCAGAAGATTCATTCTTATTTTGCATAATTGGTGATTCGTTGAGCAACAACGAGATTTGGGACAAGGCAACAATCAATATACTAGCCTCGCTCCATTACTCACCATATGTGCAAAATGAGAATGAATTTTCCCCTATATTTTGGAAAGATGAACAATAATATTTTTGTCTTTAGTGCACGACACGGTAGTGAATACTGGAACAACACCTATGGCAGAATGTTTTAAGGTAAAAAAACAAACAAACACGGTTTTATTGTCAGACGAGGCAGCAAACTACGGGTCTCGCTCTACCGCTCACCGCTTCAACAAAATGAGAATGAATCTTTTGTTGGATATCAAATAGATACATAACTTTTTTTTTTACCTCTTTTCTACACAACGCCAATAATATTTCATGCAAGTTGTGGATGAGTTGAGGAAGTTTTATTGGAGCAGAAGGAGGATGAAAAAATGTGAAACGGGGTTGAATTTTCTAAATGTAAAAAGTTTGCTATAAGTGTTTGTAAGCCGTGTGGACATCCTTATAAAAGGCGATATACCTGAGTAATTTAGGGGTGGTTATAAATCAGACGTTGGCTTTGACCATTGAACACAGTTTATGAGATCTTAGAGAGAATGCTCAATCTGTTAAGAAAATACTTACACATAGTGCCCCAAGTACTGGTACTATGACATGTCTCCTTGAATATGTTTTAACCAATGTCAACTTGAAATGCATTTTTTTCTTAGCGTCGGTTATGCGGCCGTTGCCTGGTTAATTTATCCTCTTAAGATGTTAGGAGATGCATGTCATAAATGACAAACACTGAAGTAGAACTATGAAGGCATGGTTACATCAGGGAGAATTGGCGAAAGGAAATAGGTAGGATCTCATGAGGGGTAAATTCAAGAAAGAAAAAAAAATCATCTCCACCCAACTGGTAGTAACCCTTTCATGTTTTTTTACGTAAAGAACGATCATACAATTCATTCGTTTTATAAAATAATAATTGCTAAAAAAATATAATTACCAACCTTCATACTCCATATAATATTAGTCGTGACAACAAAAAAAACGATAAACCTTCCTTATAAAACCCCTTCCTGGTGCCACACTTTTTAGGGATGCGAAATAACACAAGCCCAACAACCATGAATTAGTCAACTCAGAAAGTGCGAGAAACCTTTACCGCTTTAGAAATGAGGGAAAACGTCAGCTTTCGAAGAATTCGAAGGCCGGACCCAACGACGGCTGCCATTGATAAATCTAATCGACGACCGTCGTTTCGTTCCGGCTTCTCGAAAGGTTGGAGGTCCGTTATTTTCGGAACCGACAAAGGTTTTTTTTTTTTGTATCTAAAGAGTTTTAGTAAAATTATATTTCCCCATCTAAGATATAGGAATTTGTTGTATTCCTAAAAACTAATATGCATAAAACTTAATCGAAGTTTGGGTATTAAAAAAACAGTTCCAATTTCAACACAAATATTTTTTCATAGTTCCCCCCCCCCCCCCTCCCCCCCCTTCTTTCAATATGACTGAAAACTTTTCTATAAGAGAAACTGGCAATGAATATTAGCATATAATACAATATAATAAAATATGCAATATATAGTAGAGAGTATATTTTCATACACACAAAATAATCACAGACCTTACCCTTCCCCAACCACATCAACAAACAAACTACGGACTGCGCACTCGTGCCCTCACGGTAAGAGCCTCTCGCTCCACACCACTTGAAAATACTTGAGTTTCAAGTGCACACTAAATAAGAAGTTGTCATCAATTTACACTTACTCGATTTATGGTTCCATGTACACTTGAGGAAACCCTTGAACAGGCTGCACTTGAAACTGAACTCCACTGCTTGACCAATCCTGGACCAGGATCACCTGCTGAAAAAAAAGGAAAAAAAAGGCCCCACTTGGAGTGCTGGCGGTATCCGCTGGCACTTGAACTCAAGGTACCTCCGGGAGGTGACTTGATTTCCAGGGCGATTTTGGCTGTGTCGCCCTCGAGTTTTTTTTTTTTTTTTTTTTTTACAAAGAAACTCTGCCCATTATTATTACGACACAAACAAGATAGAGGCCGGGAACCCTCAACAAACAACCCGGAAACAGAAATAGCAAATACTGGGACCATTACCCAGCTTAGGTTCAGGCCTTGGGACACGGAGGTCCAGTAGCAGAATGGCCAATTCAAGACCGCTGCCCTGACTCATCCCAACCCCGGGAAAAAGAAAACAAAGCCAACATGGCCTCAAAAGCCGAACACAAATAAAAAACCACCAAATAAAACTATACCAACAAGGCCTGTAACACCCCACAAACCAAAAAACTATGAATGGTACCTATCCTAATTGCATCCATCTACTGCTAACAACTAAAACCTTTCGAACTACAAAACCCCTGCACCCAACAAACTCCTAAAGCGGAGCTAAGTCATCTAACATTCCAGTCTCTTATTCTATCTCATTCCCACCAAATCAATTGCACCTCACTAGTCCACTCTGGGAATATTGTCTCAACAACGTACTTGAGCTCCGTACTGCTTCGTACCCTAAAGCGGGTACGACTGAGTATTTCTCACTCCCTCCTCGTCTTCCCTCTGCCTGTCTCCTGTGACCAGATCAATAACCGAGTGAGCTGGTTGGTGACACTAATATTCTATCTTCTCTATTAGTCATCAAACAACCAGGAATGCAAGCACAGCTGGTTGTTGGCTTCTATCTTGCATGACTTACCATCAATAGCCCAGGTTCGACTGAACCAGCAGATCCCTGCCTGGGGGTTAGACACCGTTGTTGTCTTCCGCCTCCAGTCCGCCTGAATGGCACGCCTGAGATGCTGCTTGAATGTCTGGCGAATTTGTTTGTTCCTCCAGTCCTTGTTATCAAAACTCAGATCGTTCCTACTCGAGTTTCAAGGGCGCACCCTTGGGACGCAAAAAGTGAAAACAAAGTGGGTCGCTCTAAGGGGGGTGTTGTGGAACGAGGCCCTAAGTCAATTGGAAAATGTAGAGTAGGAAGGCAGGCCGAGAGCTGCGGGGTCTTTGGAATCAAACCCGGAGGGCGTAACGCCTGAAGCCAAGCTGGATGATGCTTCCAGTAACATCCCCGGCCTCGAATTTGCTGAAGTAGATGGAAATTTGAATCGGGAGGTGAGAAACAAAAACTGCTGATAAGAAAGGTCATGTGTTCAAATCTTCAGGAGTCCGAAAATGTCATAGTCTGGCTGGGAAACCCCCTTCACCGAACGGGAAGGAAGGAGGAATAACGTCGGGCCCTTCCAGCGGTTGAGTTTCGGCGGGTCGTGACTCGCGCGTTTACTCGCGTTTTGCAGCAGGTGGAACTAGCAAAATCGCGCGCCCAAGAGATTCGGCGGTTCTGGACACGAGGGCGAACGAAAATTTTCCTGCCATGCGCCCCTGCCCTTGCTCCCGCTCTCCTCCCGCGCCCCTTTTATGTCCTCGATTGCTCCGCGCATGCGTTTCCTGAGAGTTGGTTGTGAACCGAACCACTCTCCATCTCCAGGTGGGGGCTAGGGGTGAACCTCCGTCGGACGTTGGAGGCGATAGCTACTGGTGTCGCAGACGTCCACCGGTGGTAGCCGCAAGGCGATCATCTCGACTCGAGGGCATTGAGTGTCCGGCTGATCGGGGACTCGACGTCGCTGTCCCCTCCGCATCCGGATGTGCTGGGGGGCTTGAGCTGGCCGACATGGCTGGCGCAGCGGTTCCGCACGTGCTGCCGACGTTATGGCGGATCACGTCTCGGCCGTTCGTGGCCAATCGCTGTCTTCACGTCGGTGTCGGATGGAGTTGTATCCGCGCGAACGTCAGACTTGCTACGCAGTAGTTGGCTCTACTCTACGCAGCAGGCAGGCAAATGGCAGGACCTATGAAGATGCATCGGGGTTGGGTGAGCTGGAGCGAAGTGACGTATCGGCGCGTAGTCAATTAGTGGGGGA